GTGTTCAAGTTCAGTATATCAAATGTGCGGTCGTTTGTTATGCCCGAAAATTTTTTTCCTATGTTTAGTGAATTCACTGTCATGGTATCGATCTATATGTCACAACCAGTATGTACAGATGTGATTCCTGCAATTAACACGCAACTTACCGAACAGTTTTAAAAAGTAAGGCATTTCCACTTTCTTGGTTTACTTGGTTGTTAACTTCCAGTGGTTAGATATTTCTAACTACATTCTGCGACAAACCTAGATGACTTGGCAGACTGGATTAAATGCTGATGGAAATGTGGAGAAAACACAGATTTTATATGAAGTCAGACAAACGCTTAGCCTTCGGTAAATCTCTTATCTGACAGTTTTGGTCAAGTGGTGTTAGCGGCGGATACGGAAAACATGAGTTATTCTTTCACTAGTTGCTTTAGAAATTACATTCCTTTTGGGTTTGCAGACGAATATCCAATAAGTGATACATAAAGTGAAGCATTTTAAGGTACCTTATGTTATCTATCCGCTTTCTACCTTGACAATATGAGAGAACTCGCTCTGTGACTACAGTAAGCACTTCAGTTGGTGGGGGAATGCACTAATGCGATCGGTACTGCTGGCATCAATATGACAATCTAAAAATTTTCGAATAAATTCTGACCCGTTTCGACCAATTCAAGAAGCATTGGCATTTAGGACCCTTTGACTCTTGAATAGACCGGCTAACACGGATATTCCCTGTTTTGATTTCCATGGTATTCTTGGTGAACACATCTGGGTATAGTAGTGGGAATTCCTAATTGGTATATTCAACTGTGCTTTATTATGGTGTAAAATCCAGTGTGTATGCATTTGGATGAATATATAAATTGCATTCCCAGAAGAAATAGGCAGCTACTCTTGTGTCATTTGGGAAGAAAACTGTGGATACGCTGTAATGTTAGGCTTGCATATTTTTTCATTTCCCGGCTCTATACATAGCGACTTCTTTTTTGGAATTGCTTTTCTGAAATCCGGGTAACTGATTGATCCCCTGCTAAAGGGCGGTGCATTCAAGGTACTTTGTTGTGCATCTCTGGTTCAAAAACAATTGCATTCTATATGTAAACCTAAGTGAGTCATTTTCATTAGATAAATAAGGCCTGAGCTCATGTCGTGCGTTTCTTTGAAGGATACGGTTTGTGATTCGGTTGACTAATTCTTGAACGGAAACAAAAACATTTTCTAAATTGTCCTATATTTCACTCTAAATATATAGTAGTTATTCCTTCCTCATAGTGTTAAAACCGGTATCTATACGCCATTGCCCTGCTGCGTTTCCACTGCTTCATAGCAGGACCTATACCAACCAAATTTTGGCGTCACCTTGGGTGTCGAATGAACTTTGGTGCAGCATCCAAAGTTTCATTCGGGTAGCCGTCTAAATTTTGAACATTCTATTCTGTTCAGACTGATTTTCAATTTATATCGTTTTCTTCACAAACCTTAAAATTCGCCAAGAAATTAAATTGCACGTTGATCAAACCGCATCATTGTATCCCTAATTTGGTTGAGTCCTTCTTCATAGGCTTACCTTTGGCATAAAGATTAATTTAATATTTAGTGAGAGCGGAAAACTACTTCAAAAAACTACTTCTGTGGGTGACGTGAATTCTAGAACCCTCATTGAGCATGCATGAGCAAACCTGTTATTTAAAATGAAACTGCTGGGTGTTTTGCAGCGTTTCTTCAGAAGGACTGCTTTAATTACGTATCAGTTTGAACACCACTGCAAGCAAAGACGGTAGCTGGGTACCTGTTGGAATTTTGCCACAATCGAAGCACAAACTACACCATTATTAATAATGAACTTTTTTTATTCTGTGTAAGTGTTTCATTATTTAGGCAACAGAACAAGCATCATGCGCCTCAAATACAGAATGCTACTCGGATCTACCGAAATCTGCAGTGTGGAAGTAAAAGTTAGCAAAAGTAAATGTGTATCTACTTTATAAGGAATATTTCAGAAACCGAAAATACCAGTGAAGGGAACAGAGCCTATAAGTGGTATCCACCGGTACACCAGTAGAAAAGCTGAGCTTGGGTGAATAATCGGAAACACGGCCAACTCGACCGCACTGATTGCTTGTGGATTTTATCAGAACAAAATCAACCTTCTTAAACGAACTTCAGAGCTTCCGCACTGCGTAGCCCCCGGATAAGGAAGGCATACAAAAACTGCTCTCTTAAACTATTGAAATTATTTTGTAATCGTAATTTGGCTATCTTCCTTGGGCGCTGATACAGCATTCGGAAGACGACGACCCACCCGCAACTGTTTTAATTACGTGCTTGTAAGACATCCTGATTACTGTATATGTTGTCTCTTTTAACGAAACAAAACCACCAACTCTAGCTTGGTGACACACATTGCACAACAATCCCGTAAATGTTAGCAACGTGTTTGCTGAAAAGTTCCGTTGACCAGTCTAATGACCAGTCTAATCCAACAGGGATGATTATATAGGAAACGCAATTAGCAACTTGGTTAGCTACATTTGACACACCGGGGGGGGGTATTTTTTACTTCCATTAAAATGTCGTGCTGGATTATTCAGCCTCATTTATTTCATATGGCGTTTTCCATAATAAAAGGTTTAAAATAGGATCACTGATTTATTCGCTTTGCGTAGTTTATTTTTGCAGCTTCACTGCCATCACCTTGCTTTACGAAATTAACGTCTGGTTTGTAAATTGAGCGGTAATGTTCTCTTTATGAGAGCTCTGTATCCATGATAAACGTCTAGTTTGTACGTCGCTGGCGGTTTGACCACCGTTGATAATGAAACTGTATTTTATACGACGAATTTCAATGATGAAATGCGCCACAAAGTGTTAGCCGTAAACATGCTCGAAAACCTCAGATTGTGCATTACCTTCATGACGTAAGAAGGTCTGATAAAGGCTTTCAGTTTTCTTCAACAATCAAACTATCCGGTGTTAGCTGACATTTAGCAAGTAAGCATGAGCCTCTTCTGAGTTAGTCGTTTTAGAAAGCGATCAGTCGAATGATTGCTTACGTTGATCACTTAACTGCGTTTTATTTGACTTGACTGACGTTTCGTCACTGCATTAGAAAGGCTCATTGGGCTTCTGTGCTGCGATGATCCCGCTGGCAATGCTGGCTGAAACTTAGCCCCTAGAGGCTGGACCATGCACGAGAGGCCAACGGTGTGCAGCCCGATGAAGAACAGCGACCCTCCGTATTGCGATCAATCGTATTACGGGGCAGTTTGGAGCGGTAAGTGTGAAGACAGTAAAATGTTTCCCAAGTCAACCATCATATTCATATTTATGGAAGCAGCAATGCTGCCTTTGCACGAAAAAGTACGGGTTAGAAAAGGTTGGTCCCAAACCCGGACGATCTGACCGCCCAACGGTTGGTCGTGACCGCCGGAGCATTATTCAATACTGTCGAAAGACTCAAAACCAAAGAGCCCGATGCTTCTCAGAAGGCACCTGCCATTTTCAGCCGCATCAGGAGTGAGACAGCAATATCCCACTATTGCGCCCTCAGGGTCCGACCGGCCCCGCATAACCATGTCGTTCAGATTATTGAGCCACTGATTTCGGGGAGGGTCCCCCATGCAAACCCTAACAATTGCTGTCTCACGGTCCAGAAAGCTAGCAGCAGGGCCTGACTTTTGGGTCAGACTTTTGGGCCGAAGGCTCAACTCAACCACCTTCGTTGGCCTAGGAAACCTGGAAGTACATTTTCCCTTACAGGTCTCCACCCAGCGGTTTTCGCCCTCAGTTCCTCCTAACCCATTGTAAATGCGGAGCAGTCAACCCGTCTGCCCATCCTCTTGACATTGTTTGGTGTCTCAACCATCGCCCAGAAAAATGAACTCAAAGAGGCACTTACTAACCTCAAAAGATCCGATCCACGTTGCAGCAGTCAATATCCGTACTCTATGTCAGATTTGGCAGCAGGCATCCCTTGCTGAAAACTCAATTTCTGTCTCTAATAATGTACAGTGTATCTCCGAAACAGACATACAAGTCCCCTCTTTGGTCATGCTCGTCACCCCGCTTAGGATGAGCCCATAGTCATACATTTCACTGGTATTAGGTTATGGTGACTCCGTGGCTCGTGGTATCGTGGGTGTGGGAGTTGCACTCAGCCCCAAGGCCCAAAGCGCCGTACTGGACTGAATCGGAGTAAATAGTCACCTTTGGGTTGTGCAGTTGTCTGGTTCAATTGAGAATAACGCAGGTCGATGCGGTTTGTTTGTCGTATCAGCACGCGCCCCAAAAGATAGCTATACTAAGCCTGAGGAGAATGCGTTTTATCGAGAAATGTCACGACTGGTTCAGTCGGGAAGAAGGGCGGATATAGTAATCCTGGCGGGTGATATGAACGCCGAGTTGGACAACTAAGTCAGGAAAAATTGTAGTTATGTGGTTGATTTGGAGTCTATTCTGAGCATACGGGGAAGGCAGTGCGACGTATTCATTTGTGTATAGATCGTCGTCTGTTCCTGGCCACCACGGACTTCAAACACAACCGCACATGCCGGATTAGTTGGAGGCTACCTACCACAAGACGGTCATGGACTCAATTGGACCATATGAATATCGGTTAGTAACGAAGGGCCTCAGTTGAGGATACGCACTAAATTCTGATCGCGCAATCGTGCGGGGCGCTTAGCACTTTGATTTCCACCGGCACTACGCGTACCGAAAGAGAGCAGCCCCGTTAATCATTTTTGACAAGTTTCAGTAGCTAAAGATCACTGAGCTGATCCCTCTAGAAAGCTACTGGAAATGCACAGTCATGTCGGTAAGGAAGATTGCTCGGAGGAAGAATGGAGGCGAGTTAAAGATGCAATGCTCTCAGATTTCAGCACTGTTTGTCCAAGAAATCGAAATCAATCAGAAAAATATACCATACCAGCCCGGAACTGCGTACAAGACGTACAGAAACAACGGATCCTTATCCATCTTCTGAGGCGTCGGAGAAGGTATGCAGCTCTGTGTGGCGTACATCAAATCCAGTGTGCAGGGGGCATCGAAGGATTTCCAGCGTCTCGACTCTGTTTATGTCTCGCTGCCAACAGTCCAACAAAGTTTCTGCGGTCGTATCTATGTGTTCGTCCCAACCAAATTTCTTCTCGCTGTAATAACCGTTTGGGTTGAAGTAGAAGCGGGGCCACAAATCCGAGGGGGTCGTAAAGTAGGGCGATGCAACAGAATATGCCGCGTTTAGTCGCTGGGCCCGTTGGCAAGCCGACTTTGAATCGGAAGCTATCAGTTTTGATAGACCAGCACAGACCTAGCGTCTTGTGCAAACTCGAATGTGAATTATCGAGGTCAACCAGATCGGAAGCTCGCTCGCTAATAGGAATGTCATTCAAAACTTCCGGATTGTTGCTTACCCACTTATGTAAACGAAATCCACCCAACTTCAACATCGAACTGAGTTCGCAAACTAGTTTTTGGCTATTTCGACAGATACCATAGATACAAAGCAACCCTCCACATAAAAGTTTTCCTTTACTGCAGAAACTGTCCTTTTGTCGAAATCACCTTTGTTGTAATCAGCAACCCTTCGCAGAGCATAGGCAGCCACAAACGAGGACGAGGTGGCCCCGAATGGGTGCAGATTAGGGTGACAGACATGTGGGGATTTGTTGAGATTGCCGCCAGTGTACCAGAGAAAACTGAACACCGCCCTATCCTCCGGTGGCAATCGTACTTCTAAGAACATCTCCTCTATATCGGCAGACAAAGCAGTTTAGAGAAGTCGAAAACGCAATGAATGACCGATGATATCGTTTATCAGGTCAGGTCCGAAAAATAAGTAGTCGTTGGGGGAAACGCCTTGACCTTTGGCAGCACAGTCGAAAACCATACAAAACTTCCAGGCTTTCGATGGCTGAAGACCGGATGATGCGGGATGAAGCGCAAGCGTTCTGTTGAACCAGCTAGCGACCGACTCACATACCTTTCTCTTCGAAGGTAGTTAGGGTCTCACTGTAGTGTCGAAAGAGTGCTTTACTCCTCAACAAGCGAACCTTGAACTAACTGAGCCATTTCTCCGCTAAATTCATGTTACTAGGTAGGTTCTTCCAATTGAGCTCCTAAGGCAGCGGCACCTGGTAGTGACCATCCAACAAGCGTACAGAGTGCTCTGTCTTTTATAACCACCTTGTCCTTTAGGGATAGTGAGTTATCTCCACATTTACTTTCGTTGAAATCTGATTCAAACCTCCTCAGTATGTGATCCTCAACAGTAGGTTCTGTACTAAGGCAATTCACTGATATTCGTTTGGATCATGCAGGAGGGGCGGGTCCGAAAATTGTCCATCCCAAAGCTGTGAGATATGTGTAAGGCTGTTTCGGAGAACCCAGACGTTGCACAGTGGGACGGTGGAACATTGGTTTCTATCAAAATAGACATTTCGTTTCCAGCTTCGGCGATGGGAAGTGACCCAGTGGCGAAGGCGCAGTCGACGTTCAAAACATACTCGTCGTGCAACGGCTGCATGATAAAGCTGACGGTCATGGTATCCTTGATATCGGGGCCATTTAGCCATGGTACTTCTACGCGCGCCGCTTCTCTTTCTATCCCAAGTTGCTTCGCCACGCCTGCCATTATTAGGGTGGTATAAGATCCACTATCCAGCAGAGCATGAGTTAGCAGAGTCTCCTTTGGCCCAACCAGCCGGACTGCTAGAAAACCAAGGTAGCTCCGGGTCCCCTCAACTACCGTTGAGGTGACGTTGGCCACTTTCTTTGCCTTGTTAACCATTCACTGTGACGTACAGAAACAACGGATCCTTATCCATCTTCTGAGGCGTCGGAGAAGGTATGCAGCTCTGTGTGGCGTACATCAAATCCAGTGTGCAGGGGGCATCGAAGGATTTCCAGCGTCTCGACTCTGTTTATGTCTCGCTGCCAACAGTCCAACAAAGTTTCTGCGGTCGTATCTATGTGTTCGTCCCAACCAAATTTCTTCTCGCTGTAATAACCGTTTGGGTTGAAGTAGAAGCGGGGCCACAAATCCGAGGGGGTCGTAAAGTAGGGCGATGCAACAGAATATGCCGCGTTTAGTCGCTGGGCCCGTTGGCAAGCCGACTTTGAATCGGAAGCTATCAGTTTTGATAGACCAGCACAGACCTAGCGTCTTGTGCAAACTCGAATGTGAATTATCGAGGTCAACCAGATCGGAAGCTCGCTCGCTAATAGGAATGTCATTCAAAACTTCCGGATTGTTGCTTACCCACTTATGTAAACGAAATCCACCCAACTTCAACATCGAACTGAGTTCGCAAACTAGTTTTTGGCTATTTCGACAGATACCATAGATACAAAGCAACCCTCCACATAAAAGTTTTCCTTTACTGCAGAAACTGTCCTTTTGTCGAAATCACCTTTGTTGTCATCAGCAACCCTTCGCAGAGCATAGGCAGCCACAAACGAGGACGAGGTGGCCCCGAATGGGTGCAGATTAGGGTGACAGACATGTGGGGATTTGTTGAGATTGCCGCCAGTGTACGAAAACTGAACACCGCCCTATCCTCCGGTGGCAATCGTACTTCTAAGAACATCTCCTCTATATCGGCAGACAAAGCAGTTTAGAGAAGTCGAAAACGCAATGAATGACCGATGATATCTTTTATCAGGTCAGGTCCGAAAAATAAGTAGTCGTTGGGGGAAACGCCTTGACCTTTGGCAGCACAGTCGAAAACCATACAAAACTTCCAGGCTTTCGATGGCTGAAGACCGGATGATGCGGGATGAAGCGCAAGCGTTCTGTTGAACCAGCTAGCGACCGACTCACATACCTTTCTCTTCGAAGGTAGTTAGGGTCTCACTGTAGTGTCGAAAGAGTGCTTTACTCCTCAACAAGCGAACCTTGAACTAACTGAGCCATTTCTCCGCTAAATTCATGTTACTAGGTAGGTTCTTCCAATTGAGCTCCTAAGGCAGCGGCACCTGGTAGTGACCATCCAACAAGCGTACAGAGTGCTCTGTCTTTTATAACCACCTTGTCCTTTAGGGATAGTGAGTTATCTCCACATTTACTTTCGTTGAAATCTGATTCAAACATCCTCAGTATGTGATCCTCAACAGTAGGTTCTGTACTAAGGCAATTCACTGATATTCGTTTGGATCATGCAGGAGGGGCTGGTCCGAAAATTGTCCATCCCAAAGCTGTGAGATATGTGTAAGGCTGTTTCGGAGAACCCAGACGTTGCACAGTGGGACGGTGGAACATTGGTTTCTATCAAAATAGACATTTCGTTTCCAGCTTCGGCGATGGGAAGTGACCCAGTGGCGAAGGCGCAGTCGACGTTCAAAACATACTCGTCGTGCAACGGCTGCATGATAAAGCTGACGGTCATGGTATCCTTGATATCGGGGCCATTTAGCCATGGTACTTCTACGCGCGCCGCTTCTCTTTCTATCCCAAGTTGCTTCGCCACGCCTGCCATTATTAGGGTGGTATAAGATCCACTATCCAGCAGAGCATGAGTTAGCAGAGTCTCCTTTGGCCCAACCAGCCGGACTGCTAGAAAACCAAGGTAGCTCCGGGTCCCCTCAACTACCGTTGAGGTGACGTTGGCCACTTTCTTTGCCTTGTTAACCATTCACTGTTTCGTTAAGCAGGCGGTGATGTCGCTGGTTGCAATACGAGACGTCGCAACGTGTACGCACGCGACGCTCAAATGCTCTATGGTTAGGCTCCAGACAATTGAAGCATAACTTGAGGCCTCTCAGTATACTCAGCTTCTGGACTTGGGGATGTGTGTCAAACATTTCACAGTCTGAAAGGCTATGAGTCTGGAAAAAGTGAGGACAGGTCATACTCTCTCTCATATCTACCACGTTGATGCGGGACATTCTGGGTGGGCGTTCTAAGCCTGATTACCATATCTTCTCGTGCTGGCGATAACACCGTATCAACTTCAAGCAAAGGATACAATTCTGTTAAGAAAGGTTACTAAACGATCGAACACCGGCTCTGATACCGAACGCAGTATGTCGACTGCCGCCTCAGCCCACGTTTGTTGCAAATACCGAGGAAGATTTTCAACTATACGATTGAGATTGGTT